TTTTTTTTTTTTTTTTTTTTTTAATTTAACTCTGCTTTCATGCATTTTGAAGCCTTGGTATTAGTTGCTTTTTAAAAATTTGGGAGAAGACATCTTTGTTGTTGAGAGTATTACAGATGGCCCCTTTTCCTGGCATTGACCCCCTCTACCTGGTTCTCACGCACCCCAGGTCCTCACTATTGTCTGTGTCCATGGGCTATGCATAGATGCATTTAAGTCCTTTGACNCACTATTGTCTGTGTCCATGGGCTATGCATAGATGCATTTAAGTCCTTTGGCTAACTCTTCCCATTCCCCCTCCCTCCTTCCCTCTGAGCTCTCGNCTAATCTCTTCCCATCCCCCCTCCCTCCTTCCCTCTGAGCTCTCAGTCTGCTTCCTGGTTCCATGTCTCTGTCTCTATTTTGTTCATCCGTTTATTTTGTTCATTAGATTCCACATATGAGTGAGATCATGGGGATACTTGTCTTTCTCTGATGGCTTATTTCACTCAGCATAATCCTCTCCAGGCCCCTCCATGCTGTCCGAAAGGGTAAGAGATCCTTTTTCACAGCTGCATGGTATTCCACGTGCGTAAATGATCCTCCTCTGATGTGGGTTGTCTACTTAAGGAGACCCGGGGATGCAACATTTCTATNCCTCTGATGTGGGTTATCTACTTAAGGAGACCCGGGGATGCAACATTTCTCCCCTTCCATGGGGGTTCATCAAGTTCAGCACTAGTGACACTAACGAAACATGACCTCTGATGGGGGACATCCTGTGCACTGTGGGGTGCAGTGCACCGTGGGGCTGTTGGTTCGATTCCTGGTCAAAGGCACGTACCTGGGTTGCAGGTTCGATCCTGCATGTGGGAGGCAACCTCTCTCTCTCTCTGTCCCTCTGTCCCTTCCACTCTCTCTAAAAATATCCTCGAGCCCGGCCGGGCGTGGCTCAGCGGTTGAGCATCGACCTAGGATCCAGGCGATCGGGGTTCGATGCCCTGTCGNGGGAGGCAACCTCTCTCTCTCTCTGTCCCTCTGTCCCTTCCACTCTCTCTAAAAATATCCTCGAGCCCGGCCGGGCGTGGCTCAGCGGTTGAGCATCGACCTAGGATCCAGGTGATCGGGGTTCGATGCCCTGTCGGGCCACATGCCCGGGTTGTGGGCTCGATCAATGACTCTCTCGTCATTGATGTTTCTATGTCTCTCTCCCCCTCTCCGTTCCTCTCTCTGAAATCAATAAAGATATGTTTAAAAAAAAATAAAATAATAAAAATAAAAAAAAAATAAAAANATGTCTCTCTCTCCCTCTCCTTTCCTCTCTCTGAAATCAATAAAGATATGTTTAAAAAAATAAAAATAATAAAAATTAAAAATAAAATAAAATNCCTCTCTCTGAAATCAATAAAGATATGTTTAAAAAAATAATAATAAAAAAATAAAATTAAAAATTAAAAACTTAAAATATCCTTGAGTGGAGATTAACAACAACAAAAAAATGCTATCCCCAAAGCTCAGTTTTCACGAACAACAGTTNAAAATAAAAATATCCTCGAGTGAAGATTAACAACAACAAAAAAATGCTATTCCAAAGCTCAGTTTTCACGAACAACAGTTACTCATTTATTTGCTGCCAAAACACATGGGTCTGATGACCACGTGGTCAACGTCAAGCAACGGGGGTTTCGTATCTCAGCCCAGGAGACTCAGCAAAGAGCCTACTGGAGCCAGGTGCTCACAGGAAACCTTGCTCTGAGCCCGGCGTTGGCCAATATTGCATTTCTTTGAGCGCCTGACCAACCTACTCCTTGGTGTCAGGGTCCATTAACGGGTTGTGCTCTGTGTGTTGGGAAATACACCGATTTCATGCTTCCTCTGTTGCTTCAGCCCATGTGCGTGGCCATGAAAACGAGTNGGGTCCATTAACGGGTTGTGCTCTGTGTGTTGGGAAATACACCGATTTCATGCTTCTTCTGTTGCTTCATCCCGTGTGCATGGCCATGAAAACGAGCGGATTATATCTAATTACCCTGCTTGCAAAAGAACTTCTTGATTGCACCCTGGCTNTGTGCGTGGCCATGAAAACGAGCGGATTATATCTAATTACCCTGCTTGCAAAAGAACTTCTTGATTGCACCCTGGCTGCGTAGCTCAGTTGGTAAGAGTGTCATCTGGATACACCAAGTTGCAGTTTCAATCCCCAGTCAGGGCACATTTAAGAAGCAATCAACGAGGACATCAGTGGGCGGGTCAACAGGTCAATGTTNAAGTTGCAGTTTCAATCCCCAGTCAGGGCACATTTAAGAAGCAATCAACGAGGACATCAGTGGACGGGTCAACAGGTCAATGTTTCTCNAGTCAGGGCACATTTAAGAAGCAATCAACGAGGACATCAGTGGGCGGGTCAACAGGTCAATGTTTCTCTCTCTCTCTCTCTCCCTCCTTCCCTTCCACTCTCTCTAAAAATCAAGGGGGAAAAACTATCCTCAGGTGAGCGTTAACAAAAATAATCATAAAATAATAGCGTAAAATCAACATGAAAAAGCTGGGAGTCAACAAGCTGCGGCAGACAGTTCTATGAACTGGACTCACATTTGTACCTGGATGTCCCAACCCGTGGCCCAGATCCTTGGGTAAGAAGTTGACCTTATTTTGAAATAAGGTCTTTGGGTGTGTGGAACCTAAGGGTTAGGTTAGCTCACAGTGCGTTGGGTTGGGACCCGAATCCAGTAGGACCGGTGTCCCTGTAATAAGGGGACATTTGGACACAGGCACGTAGAAAGGGAAGGAGGAGGCCACGTGGAGATGGTGGGACTACAAGCCAAGGAATGCCAAGCATGGCCCGGGAACTGCCCGAAGCCAGGAATNGGACCCGAATCCAGTAGGACCGGTGTCCCTGTAATAAGGGGACATTTGGACACAGGCACGTAGAAAGGGAAGGAGAAGGC